CGCATCTGTCAAATGTGAGTCATTACGGACAGATTGTGTATGACAAAGTGTTCTACAACGCTGGCTGTGAGTATACATAGTGTAATGGCCGGTTTTGTGTCGAAAATCAGACGAACAAGTTTCCTTTTAAACATGCAAATTGTGCCGACCGCCACGATCTCGCTTGGTAGCTAGTTCCATGGTCGAACAGCCCGTTGACTGAATGAAAACCTCCTACGGTCTAGTTGCGTGCGTCCGCTCTTGACTTTGTAGGGATGACCGCGGAATTGGTTTAGGTGGGGAAACACAAAAGGTCCTCCGGTCTCACTGGACAACCAAGGCCACAGACAAACCGGAATCTATAGAGTAGACTGCAGTGTAATCGCCTACAAATTAAAAGAATAACTTAAGCACATTCAGCCTCTCCTGTTAAGGCAGACGTTTCGGACCATCGACCACAATCATGGATTTGATTTGCACCTGTTTGAGTAAGTCTATATACTTTCCCATCCATGGTGATGCTGCTAGCATTCCATACTTCAGATGAGGTCTTACAAGAATGCCAAAAAATCTTTCGAAGAGTTCGAGAGAGAATATTTTAAATGCACATCTGATCCTGTGTTAAATACTATTTGCCCCCTTGGACCATCTTCCTACAGTGCTTTGATGGCATTAGATTTGTGGTCATCCATACACCCAGATCACTATATCTTTCTACAGGTTCTAACGCCGTACCGTTACTATAGTAGTGGTGTTTGGGAGAGGCATTTCAGCCGTTGTTTAGCTTAAGACTACGCATTTGGACACGTTAAATTTCAAAAGCCATCTGTTTGACCAAACACTCAGTTTTTCGATGTTCGACCGCAACTGCTTTGCATCATCATCGCAATTGGCTTCATGCCGTATTTTTATGCCGTCCATGAACATGAGAACATCGTAATCTAATTAGCTGGTCAATCAATTACAAAAATCAGGAAGAGCAGTAGGCCTAAAACAGAACCCTGCGAGGCATCACTCTCCACCTTCGCCCACTCCAAGGTAGAGTCACCAACAAAGACTCTCTGTAGTCTGGAGGACAGAAAAATGCTGATCCACTGAAACACTCTTTCTTGAGTCCCCATAGTCCAGATCCTCTGTAAAAGAAGCCTGTGAAAGACACTATCAAAGTGCTTTTTGAAGTCAAAATATGTGACATTCACTGGATAACTCTTGTCTGTGTCTCTTGTCAATTCCTCGTGCGAGTACAGGTGTGCCCGCCTGTGCACAACCGTTCGCGATCCTCAGATACGAGATAAGCTAAAATTATTTTATAATTGAAATATTTGGCATATTTCTTCATCCATTTTCGACGAATTTTTATAAGCTGTCGAAAATAACACATAAATCCATTTACACTCTCTCCAATTGACCATGACCTATGTTAAGTTTGCTGTCGAAAAAGCAGATCTTTCGGCCATCGTGCCTTTACAGAAGTTTATCGAGAAACGTGAACAACTTTTTACGATACTCGACTCACTAACAAACTCAAATACATTGACGAACAGCCTAACGAGCCTACCACAAATAGAATCGGTCTTACATTTGGTTCCATCAGAAGACGCGGATAGATCAAAACTCATACTCAATTTTATTAGCCGCAATATACCCCACATGATTAACCCAACATCATCAATTCAAAAACTTATACATTCTTGTGGCAAGAACATCCGCAAAAAAACCTGTCTTAGTAAGCTTCTACCCACAGACCGAAGCTGAGCTTGCCCTAAAAAACCCTGAATTAAACAGAAATCTGCGGAACCTAAACTAATTTATTGGTATAGACTTGACACCGGTGAAAAGACGTAAACTTCGGGAAAAAGACGCCAGCTACAAACACGATAATCAGCATTCCGGTGCCTAAACTGAACCTCTAGCTATAACGTCTATTTCAGGCACTAATAAAAAGAAACGCACAGACCAGCGTAAACAAAATGATAAACACACAGACCCCGTAGATGGACCTCCAGCAAGTACTTCTGACTCTAGTTCTCAGGACAAAAAACGCGTAACTGCAAAATCAGTCAGGACTGCTGGGCAGAAAGAAACATAGGGGACACAACAAAACAATGACGTTTAATTAGAACAGAACGATGACGCAAATTCAGGACCCAGTAATGTGGCACCACTAGATAGCAATATAAGTTTTACCACGCCCCCCAAAACCGATCAACCAGCACTAGAAATCGACTGCCAAACAAGAAACACAGACCAAAAGGCCTTAATAAGCACACCAGCACAACCAAAACACCCTTATTATGTAGACATAACGAATAGGAGTTCTTCAAACTCTAACCAGAAACAAATAAGCTTCTATAACTGCATCTTAACTCCCCAAAATACCCCTGCATTGCATAGGAATAAGCCAAAACACTCTGGCACTCCAAACTTCTTACCACCTAATGACAACCCCACAAATAACTTCGGTTTTCACACCTCCCCAACTTAACCTCCATTTAGGTACACTTACCACCTAGTTACCCCCCTCCCCATATGTACACTCAATCCATACACATTAATCCATGCACTCAAAATACGCCATTAGCATCACCATATCCTCCAAAATCCATACACTTACCTCCATTTAGTCCATCATTCAATCAAAGTACCCTCCTAAATCCTTTCTTCCACAACAGTCCACCTAGTCCATATCCGACATCCTGAACATAGCTCTTATAAATTCGAGATCGATTGCCAACAAATTATCCCAACTTAGAACTTTGTTGACACATATAGCCTCGATATAATTTGCATCACAAAATTTGGGCAAACGAAGTTATATCGAATGCTTCGCTATATGTCCCAAATTATAATTTATATCGGCGGGATCGTGTTAGTAAACGGGGCGGAGAGTGACTTATCTACACCAAAAATAGCATTGAGAAAAGTGGTATTGATGTCCAAACCGAAACCCTTGCTGGAGAAGCGTGTTTTGCCACAATAAAATCTCATACCCAGGATAACATACTAGTCGGATGCCTCTACTTCCCTCTACAATGTAGTAATGATGACACAAGTCCAAAACACATAAAGTGACATTTAGACGGAGAGAATGCCATTAGCTATGTTAAGCTCCACGCCGGGAAGATCAAGCAATTCAGCATAGATTTTCGCCAGGCAATGAATAGTCGTAGTTTTATTGAATGTATATACACATTTAAGATCATCAGCACAAAGGTTTGACTGCCTACCAGATGTCATTTATGTTACCTTACGTCTTTTAGGGAACCATACTTCCGTAGAAAATAAAAAAGTAATCGACAGAGAAAAATGTCTTATGATTCAGGGGCTCCCTGAATCAGGTGCAGGTACTCACAAGAAGCGGGTTTCCGTAGACATATCCCTTTTCCAAGGTCTTCTCAATAATATTTTGGAGCCCACTGTGGCTATTGATATGATCAAAGCTTTCCGCCTTGGAAAACGAGCAGATAATCCACCATTGTCGATTCGTCCCCGGCCTCTTAAAGTTGTGCTGGCCAGCGGTGACCAAGCCAGTCTCATTCTCTTCAAGCGATTCAGGATAAAAGGCTCCAACCCAGGTGTTTTTTTAGACCGGACAACTTTCCAAAGGAGCGGCCGAAACGTCGTCAACTAGTTTTAGTACTAAGAATGAGGCTCAGCGAGGGGAGGACGATTTAGTTGTATACAACAACCACGTACGGCGGCGTCCGTCACACTTCCTTTGGACAGGTCCGGTTCGAGTGACCGCGCAGTGGACATATTAAGTGAAGGCGCTAACCAAAATGTGCTCACATCTTCCGTCAGCCGGAAATGAAAATTCTTGTACACCAACGTGCAGAGTTTGCTATCAAAATTCGACGAGCTGAAGATCCACCTCTGCGATCTATCCACTGACGTAATCTCTTTAACAAAAACCTGGTTGACCCAACACGTGAACGACCGTGAGTTGACCTCGCCTGGCTACCAAATGTTTCGAAGGGATAGGGGAGAGTTCCAGGGAGGACGTGTAATCACGTATGTGAAAAATGGGATAGATGTGTCAGACAAAACCGATAAATTTTCGTGTACTTCCGAGGCGATCTGGCTGTCTAGTAAAGTGCCGAGGTCGCCTAGCCTCGATGTCCTGACACTTTATCGACCGCCGAGACGGGACAACATGGTGGACGCTCGCTTGCTTGAGGAGCTCGAAAATTTCGCTACGCGGCCGGATATCCTGATCATGGGCGACTTTAGCGCGCCTCATATTGACTGGAGCTCGACCCATGCAAATAGCTCAAAACAGACTTTCGATGGGAGTTTTCTGAACACGGCACTGAAGTTATTTCTCACTCAACACGTTATGTTTCTAACTAGAGTGCGCGAAGACTAACAGGCCAACTGCCTTGACCTTGTCCTTACGAAATCACAGGACAGCATTGATGAGGTGTCATGCCTACCCTCCTTAAGTACAAGTGACCATGTCGTTCTTCTATGGGATTACTCGCTTTTTTCCATGCCTGAGAAACCAATGACAGTTAGAAGAAACCTTTGGCTCGGTGATTTTGACCAAATGAGGGCTGAAATTTCACGCATTGTGTGGGAATCCGTATTTGTTGGAGGCATACTCGAAGACTGACAACGGTTCTGAGAGATGCTGCATTGGCTGATCGCAAACCACTGTCCGCTTTCACGGGAGAGGTTAAGTGACAGACCTCGATGGCTTGCGCAAGCCTTGAAGAATGAAGTTAATAAAAAACGAAGGCTGTGGAAAAAAGCGATTTCTGACAGGAGCCCCACATATATATGTGCGTACGAAATTCCAAGAAATTTAGTCGAGGGCTTCATCCTAAAAACTAGAAGGGAATTCGAACGGTATCTGCTTAACCGTGCCGCAGAGAACCCTAAATTATTCTACGGTTACATAAGGCAGTGCACGCGGAACAAGGACCCAAGTGCACTGCTAACGACTGCTGAAGGCGAACATTTCACTGAAGACAGAACGAAAGCTGATCATCCTTCGGAATTTTTTCGGTCTGTTTTTAGTAATGAAACAGCATTCAACACTTTTGACCCTTCAAACCTTCGAAGACACCACAATTATGGAGACGGTTCAGTTCACTGAGGACATGGGTCTGACGGAGTTGATGCGGCTAAAGGAATCAAAATTACCAGGTCCCTATGAGATTCCGGCGAAGATTTTGAAGGAACTCTCCGGTGAGTTGGCTAAACCTCTCTCTATGCTTTTTCATACATCCTTCGAGACCGGATATCTGTCACCCGACTGGAAGTCGGCGTAGATCACGCCGCTGTACAAGGGCGGAAGTCGGATCTCTGCGAACAATTACAGACCTGTCAGCCTCACATCCATTTTCGGCAAGATTATCGAAAAAATAATAAAGTAACAATTAATGCAGTTCATTGGACAAAACTGTTGGGAGTGCCTACACTCCCAAAAACAAGAGCAAACCAATCACTGGAGATCACGTGCGTTTGCTCTCTCTCTACAGCGCTGTCATCTCAATCAGGCGCCTTCCCATTGGCCACTCCCCCTCTTCCCGAAGGTCATTGGCCGAATGCCGGCGAATCACAATAGCGTGTTATAAATATGCGTCACCCTTAGCTAGACGTGACTGGCAGTGTTTTGCTAATACACCTCCCGTGGCCAGCCGCGTTTTCTTTGTCTGCTGCCTTGATATTGGAGACCAGGGTCGAGTGAGTATACGCTTCACGGAATTTTACGTACCAGGCGGGTCATAACAAAAACCATGTGCTTTCCGATTCTCAGCATGGATTCCGAAAAAGCATATCCTGTGTGACAAACTTATTCTACTGTCTGGTGCACTGGACTCGAGCTGCTGATAGAGAAGATATGGTGCCTGCCATATATATCGACTTTAAAAAGGTCTTCGACAGTGTGCCTCACCACCGCCTTCTATACAAACTCAGCCGTACAGTAGTGCGAGATAAGCTTCTGATGTGGATTCGAAGCTATTAACCCGGCCACGCTCAGGCCGTCCACGTCAGTGACCAGCAATCTGCCGAGGTTGCCGTTAAGAGTGGTGTTCCGCAGGGCTCTGTTCTTTTCCCTACACTGTTCCTAGTCTTAGTCAGCGACTGCGCAAACGAACTGGATTGCGATGTCGCAGTGTTTGTTGATGAAGTAAATATCTGGACTACCATACGAAACGAAGTTGACGAGGCGCGACTGCAGACAAATCTAGACCGCCTCGAGCAATGGTAAAAAGACTGGCTTCTACCGTTCAACGTAAACAAGTGTAATTTCCTACGCGTCGGCGGAACCAGTTCTCCTAACCGCATGGTCTACCGTCTGACTGGCAAGCCACTGCAAGAAGTCGACGCCCAGAAGGACTTGGGTGTATGGATCGCAGCCTCGCTTAAGCCTTCACTGCAGTGCTCAAAGGTAGCCAATTCAGCGATGTCCACTCTATACCTCGTCAAACGGGCGTTCTCCCCCTTTGATGAAGATTGCTTCGCCAAGGTCTTCAGAACTTTTTTGCTACCGCATCTGCAGTTTGATATCCAAGCATGGAGACTCTGGACCGCTAAAGACCTCGGCATCCTTGAAAAAGTTCAACGGCGGGCAACGAAACTTGTATCTGGGCAGTGGTCAGTACCCGACGAAACACGATTAGCTAATCTTGACCGCTTTCCTTTGAGTTATAGAAAACTACGTGAAGACCTGATACAAGCTTTCCGCATCGTGCGTAATCAGTGCTGCTGCCTCGCATCAGGAAACTCCCTTGAGTTGGCGACTACGATTAACCTGTGAGGCCATCCACTCAAATTACGTGTGACTGGTGCCCGGCTAGACACACGAAAGTTCTTCTCCTCCAACAGAGTGGTTGCAGCTTGGGATGCTTGACCCGAGGATGCTGTTATGTCGGGATTCGTAGACACTTTTAAACGAAGTCTAGATCAACTTTGGAGCGCGCACCACAATAACGCCAAACTACAGCCACCTTGATAGCCAGCGTTGACAATTTAATGTTATGACGATGCTACTACCAACACTCAAGTAACATATGTTTATGAAATTTGTTGGTTTTGAACCACGTCGCACACCGCTGCTCGCATTCACCACTGAACTGAACTGAACCACGATGCCTTAGGACTAAAAAATTTACTTCTTTTCCTGTATCTTTGGTGTGCTTCTACTGTCTGCTGTATTTAATCAACAAACCGAGTTCACATGCCTTTAAATGCTCTTAACGCATGAAATTCTGTGTTCATCTGTGCAGTTTTTGTTATTCCCCTTGTATTTCTTTCGCTTTACTTCGTTTCCATTTTCTCCATATACCCTCTCTGCATGTAACCAATAGGGATTTCAAAGGTACACATATACTTTCCCTGAATTACACTGATACTGACACATTTAAGCCCGGAAGAAAAGATGACCTAAAACGGTACCTTGTAGAACACCACTTGACGAAGTCAATAAGGGGACTGCGAATTCTCAGAGCTTCTAATTGAGCTAAGAGGCTTCTATGTGGCATTTTATAAAAGGCCCTACTAAGATGAAAATAAATAATGACAAAAGATAAATGCTCATTAAGAAGTTAAGTAAGTAGACTAAGAATTGACATCTGACACGTTTCACAAGAGCGATTGGATAAAAAGCCGTGTTCGAAAGGGCTAAGAACTTGACCGGTTATGCAAAAGTCAGAAATTTTCATGGTAATGATTATTTCAAATCTTTTGGCTAGAGAATGTTTTTATGCACACCTCGATAGTTTTGATGATCAGAACGACAGCCAAACTTAAATACTGCAATTTCGAAAAAGTTTTCCAATGGTCAGGAAAAAAACCATTTACAGGAAAGACTGAAGAAATTTTGCTGAGCAAAGACGGAAAATCTCTTAGCTGTTTTCCAAGAGAGTTCGGAATTTTGTCCGTACCTCACGAATCACAGTTATTAAGCTGGTTTATCAGTTTTTGAATAGTTTTGGGAACAAAATTAATGGTGGCGAGGGAGGCATTAGATAGCGGAAGAGTTGAAGGAATTGGGTCAGTTTCAATGGTAAAATGGTTGGTAAAGAATGAGATTCGGCTTTGCCTGACTCCTCTGTAATGAAGGTATCGTTGGTATTAATCAAAGGCGGAATGACTTGTTGGGACTAAGCAGATGATCTTTGACAGAAGACCTGAGCAATTGATTTAGAAGCATTCACGCCGTCTCCACAGTGTTTAAAGTTAGTTTAACGTGTGACAAAGACGTAATTTGCGATGAGACGTCCATTTTTTCAAACCAGTATGGGAATGTTTAGGATCACTTACGGAGCATTTGTCCGCTATGGGTTGGAGTATGGTGCACAGGCATTGCGTCCTTAGCTCAAGAAGGATTACCAGCTGATAGAAAGAGTGAATTTGAGATTTACGTAGGCGGTAAAGAGTCCTGGTTACCTGGCTATAATAATTTTTTCCCCAAATTACGGGAAACTACCCGGTTGCCTCATTCAAACTTATCAGATTGTGAGAGTTCGGGAAATTGTACTACACTTCAATGACTTTTCGAAATAACTCTGACGGCCCTCCTGCGTTGTCAACATCTCGAACTGCAAAGGGAGTTGACCCATGCAGACGTTTGATCGAATACCTTCTCTCAGAGAATCTTTGAGGCATGCAGCGGATTCCCTGAAGTCATGGTGTGTTCAGTCAGCGTTGAGATACTAAGATGCAGCCTAGTTACTAGCTTGCTAAGAAACTACTGTAGATGAAACCAACATTGTATCGGTGAAGGCCGTTTGCATATGGCCTACTCAAGTATGATGAAACTACACACTCCGGAATCACTCCCGCAAAAGCCGAGGATATTGCTTTTATGGATATGAACAAAGAGCTCGAGGGCGAAAGCCTTATTCCCTAAATAAAGAGACATACTTTGAAAACTTCCGGACTAAGCTTACAGAGTCCCCTTTCGACTAGCATACTTAAAGTTAGCACAGTATTATTGTAGGTTTTGAAAGAAAGGTGAAATTTTATTCACTTCAATTGCAAAGACCTATTTTCAACCAGTTAACATGTAGTTAGAATAGTCAGAAAGTATATGCGTGTCACTATGTGTTTGAGCTCCTGTCAGTCGATAAATAGAACTTAGAAGTTGTCTACTGTCTATTTTAAAAGTTTCTTAGATATAACTAGATATGCTGCGGGCGGATTATGTTGGTTCATTTGGTTGTCAGATCTGTCCTTTTCAAGGCCAGGGTGCGCATTTCAAACAGAAGGGTCTCAAGGGGTCTTGGTCCGGAGTCAATCTGCCTCGTCAGATGAGATATGTGTTTCGCCGGTTCTTCAAACACCCCCTTGTTATATTTCTCCTTCTAATTTTAGTCCAACTATGACATTTTTAGTTGCATTGCTCGTCAAACTTCTGCGTTCCCATTGCCTACTATAGTAGGCAATAGGAACGCAGAAGTTTGACGAAATCTATAATAATAGATTTCGTGTTTGGAAAATAAAAAATAATTTCGTGTAGGACCTCCCTAATATAGTAAAGAGCTGCTATAGCTGTTGATATCGAGATAATAGAGCCCACATACATCATCGATTGCCCTCAACTGACGTCGACCGACGAGCTCACCCACCTGCTGGGGCCTTTTACGGCTTATTAAAAAGACCTATGTTCCCCATGAGTGCGGACATTGTAAACTCGAAAAAGTATATAAAGAAGTCGCTCCCCGTGAGGATTAATATCTTGTAAGCTAGGATTGATCACGAATTTTCTCCTATGTCACATGCGCCTAGTTTACCTGGGGGTTTTGAAGACATTGTTAAGTTTGCATCAGGGTCATCGTTCAAAAGTCAACAGCTGCATGTCGCCACATGCACATAGGGCTGCAGATTTGGCCGCAATGGCGAAAAACGGTGCCTATTAAACATCCACCTCCCGGCTGACTTCTGTCAGCGAGATAGATGTTTAAGTGTTATCCAGTTGCTGTGGCTGCAAAGCCGGTCCAGTTCCTTTTTATTTCAAAATTGTTGTTCCATGGAATACTAACTAAAAGTCGTCTTAAATTTATGTTCTATTTCCTTCTCTGAGATAACTTCCCTGTTCTGGACCTGTAATATTAATGTAGGTCGTGGTAAGCATTCGTTAGAACTTGTCGCTCCCAAATTTTCTGTCATTACTAACCATAATGTACATTGACGGAGTTGAGCGCCACGGTGCCGGTAGGTCCTATTCGTCTTTCCCTCTAGTAAGTTATTGGAGTAGATTAAGTAAGCCGTTAGGAGGACGTTCGCGATCGCAGAAAATAGTTGGCCGCCTCGGCGAGTAGGAGGCCTCCTTCAAGTAAGTTGCTTTGTAGAAATAAATCTGGACCACTGTCGGTAGGACTCAAAAGCAGTGACTAAAACGAGCATGTAATAACCGGAATCTTCCGTTCTGAAATCCACCGGACAATAGGTGCATTGGCATTGGGGAGAAAACAGAGTAAATAACGTACTATATGATCGCGGTGGATAGTTCGCATAGTATTATCTGAATTCAGTAACGCCTAGGATTACTCTGATCGCGTAAAGCAGTCATCCCCTAAGGTAACAGGGTTGGCAGTTACAGCAGCAGGTTTTTGCCTTTTCCAACGCCTTACACCAAGTAAGTTTGCTGTTTAGTAGAAAAAAATTATGCTTTAATTGAAATTATTAATTACTTGCAGTCGGATATTGCATCTTAGAACGCCACTTACCATCCATTCGCTTACGCGAACGGTGCTCGTAAACCCTTCAAATGAAATTTTCTTAATGAGCGGTTTGCGGACGCTGAAGAAAAGAAGTGGTCACTGACATTTTGAAGGCCCACCTTTTTTCTCCACTCGTAGGTATCGGTATGAACGGGAGGCCTAGTCATAAACTATCTCAGAATCAGCATCGATCAACTTATGACGACAATCTCAGGAGGTCTGACGACATGGCTGCCTCACCGTCAGTAAGTTGCAATGACTTAAGCTGTCCTAGATTTCAGTCTTTAAATACAGTTGACTCAGACACGAGCGAGTCCTTCGGTACATCACCAGCTGACCACCTCTTGCGTCAGGATGGTAAGGCGTCATGTAACCCTTAAGATCCTGCGCACATTTTCCAGAGTTCTCGACGCATCGCCAGTTAGCCGACATCCGCCGGACTTTGCATGCCTTATACCGTCACGTAAGAGCTTCGTCTAGAAGGCAACTATGGTTAATGGAAAGCCACAGGCGGCTGCGCGCAAGCATACGCGCACTGGAGGCGCTGATAGATCAACGGCCCGCCCCCTCGACCGAGGTAGCTGTACAACCGCCAGAAAACCCTGTAATTCGGCCTCTGCGTTCGGCGGCAGATTTCCAGCAGTTAAATGCCCGCTTAGCCGACGATGATTACCGAAATCAGTTAGTAGGCTACCTATTTTTTACCTTTGTACTTTTCTTGAGGCTTCCTACCTCGTTTACCTTGGGGGCCAAACGGTGGACGATTTCGTCAAACGCATATTTTATGCATTGTTTGACGATGAAATATGCATTCACGTTAATTTTAAAGGGAAGAAATTAAAACAAGGCCTTTTCGGGTCAAAAATATACGAGTTGATAACAGGTATGTAATTAATTACGTATGTTACTGCTCGCTATGAAGGAGTGTTCGCGAGATGGAATGCCGAAGGACACGCCACCCTGTTTGACTTGGAGTCTGCACTCACCAAGCGTCTAAAAAGATCATTAGACGCTTACGGAAGACGACTTCAAAAACGTCAGACTATTAACCGTAAGCTGTATGCATATTTCCTTAGAAACTACATCTTCCCTGTAGAAGGACAACTCAGATCGTCGCCAGGGTCCTCCCCTCCACCTCCATACAGCTACAAGGAGACCTGACTGGACCGCACCTCATGGATCCAAATATGCACATGCTTTAGTTTTTCGGCCACTGCAATTAGTTTTTTTTTTAAGAAAACGCGAATTCCACCGCCTTCACTGTGACATTTCTTTGTTGAAGTTATCAGAAGACGGATGTTTAAGTGGACAGGACAGAAGAAAAACGATTGTTTGGAGTAAAATAAAAGAACGTATGGGCATCATGTTAAGTCAGGATCTCATGCGTACATCTCTACTTATCGATTTCGCAGTTGTCAGGGTATCTCGAGGAACCGATATCCAGATATCCCTAGCTACTACGGATTAAAATTCCCGAATGAAGCCAGCAGATGCCGGGGCATCTGCCTTTTTACCATTCTTAAGTATTAGAATCATGGCCAGAGATTCAGTGGGTGCCTGCGGGGATTCGCATTCGTCTCATGATGCCACAAGTTCTAAAAATCCCTTTGGCGATATTGGGCACTTTAACCTTTCGGTTTTACAAGAATACGATGCTACTTGCGATAACGGTGCTTATTTTACTGAAGTTGTAGATGCTATAGATGGAAACCCAGCAAGTTCGCCAGAATCTTGTGAAGCATACTCGTAAGCCCGTTGGAGTAATAAGTTTTGGAACCGAAGACGAAAAAAGTGCAAACGCAATGCTATTACTCACTTATCTGCTCATGGGAGTCTGTGCTTTCAGGGGAATATAGTTTCGGAATCGGTATCGCTCACGCTAAGTGCCGGCATGACTAGCCACGGTCTCTACCGTATTAACTACCCTCCTTGGGTACTAAGCCCGAAACAGCCGTCTCAGTTTCTTGACCCTCCTCAGCTTCGGAATTGTCAATTACTGATTTGAAGACCCAACCATTTCATTGAGTATGTTATTCGACCTTTCCTGTAAAGAATTCGACTGCGATCGATGCTGTGGAATCCAAACCCAAGAATAGACCGTTTGCGGATATCTCTACCTAGCCCACTAATAGAACCAGACAGGTCTGCAATCCAATGACAGGGTCAAGTGCAGTTTACGGCACTCGAGAAGATAGGGAAGTTCAGTTCTTAGGAATCTCCCTCTCAACGATCGCCCACCGGCAGTTCGATCGTCGCCGACTATGTCCACCGTGTGCCTCACAGCATGGTGGGCGCAGAGACGACCGATTGCACCTGAATTAGGTTACAGTGACTGTAGGCCTGCGCAGCATCTACCACACTTTCTCTCCTCGCCCTCCTGGACAGAGTCAAGACGGGACAGTAACACCAGAGGGGAGGTCAGATGTAGTTGACTGGCGCGGCGCCAGTCTGCCTTTAATCTTGTCACCACGCGCCTTGTATATGGCACATTGGCTAACAAGGCTAAGCTGCCCGTTTGCGCGGCTCGGGTCCAGACTCGGTGAAGGCCACACCAAATGGTCATTGCGGCCTGACTCTCCGACCTGAGAGGACTGATTTGAGGCACAATGAGTGCAGTATTTATAGACCGCAATTGCCACGAGATCACACGCCTGCTCTTATTAGTGACTCCAGTATCCATCGTTTGGGGCTGTATTGATGCGGTGACTGCTTTTTTATCTGCGTCCAGGTCGTTAATTGTCGAAACTTGGTTGCCGTTGTGGATTCCTGGCGTGAATATTGTTCAGCAACTCGACTAGGTGGGACTGTTGGTCGTCCGGGCGTTCCCGCATCGTCTATGTGGATGCAGAGAGTCACTACGCTTTTTGATCGACTGAGGGCCGAAGAACCATGACTTAAGCAAGCCATGGTCTACGCGGCTGTCCTCTTTTGTCGCAATTTTGGCCTGTCAGATTTGATATTGTGGCGGGGTCCGGTCAAATGAGCCGCGACCTGAGAGCTGGTGTCATTCCTCCTCACTGCTTCTGCATGTTTGGCCATTCGCATCCAGAATAATCCCCCAGTTTCCCCGGCGTAATTGTCTTGTCCGCGACTGCACCAGATCTGGTAAAAGACTCCAGACGTTTCTTGTCGTAGCAATAGGTCTTTTGCCCTCATGACTTGGCGCCTGATAGTTGCTTCTGGTCTGCGTCAAAATCCAGCTCGAAATGATGTGAGCAGGTAACAGCTTTAGTCATGGTTCTTCGGCCGTCAGTCTGTCGGTCGGTAAGCCTAATGACCCCCTGCCCCTACGTGCTGTGCTGGAACTTTGCCTGATCAGAGTAACTGACCATGCGGAGGGCGCGAACGACAGACACTTTCAGTGAGATAACTTGCCGAGTAATGATTACGTCAAGAATCCACTACAGTGATTAATTTTCGACAATTAACGTCCCAGCGATAATCGCATCAAATACGGCCTTCAGCAATGAAGACTGGAGATATTAATACGAGTGGGCATGTGTTCGCATGACAACTACGTTCTGTAAGTACTGCACTCCTTGTGCCTCCATCACCCTTGTTTGCGGCTGCGATGGGTTTGGGTGCGAATCCAAAATACTGGGCCACTAAAACTTCTGTTCCAGCGATCACATCTTCCTCTGGACTCCTTTCTGGAACTCGCCTCTCCGATTCTGTGGGCGGCCAACAAGCATATTGGCTTGGCTGCAATTACGGCGATCGAAAAGTTGGCCAAGGTCACGCGAACCCATCAGTGGTCGAGCAAAGAGAGATAAGCAAACAGGCACGCCAAAAATCGTTCGAAGGGCAGGGTTATAAGACAAGACAATTGACGAGAACGAAAGGTCAATAAGAGGCGCCAAATTACCGATCTCATTGTGGGAACGAGGAAGCGTCAGTGAGAATATGGCCCAGTAAATGAACCCGCTTACGTATATTCTGCGTTTTTAGAAATGCTGAAGGATATAACATATCCGATATCGAAATCGCTCATATTTTTATATCCATAATACTTAACTCCATGTTCTGCAGTAAATGATTTCTGGAATTATAACTTGATTATTCTCTGGAGTTCGTATTAGCAAAGACCGCATATAGAGCGCTGGGGACTCACTGAGGAGCCGAACTCTCGCTGCTGTGTCATGCGACAGCAGAAACATCGGCGAAACACCTGTCGGGGAGTACGGTATAACGCCTTTAATATATATATATATATATATATATATATATATATATATATATATATATATATATATATATATATATATGGGCAGAATGATATTACCGACAAAGACAAGGGAGACTGGAATGGCCATTTCTGGCTTTTTAGCCGTCGTCAGCCAGCCATACCCAAGCCTGAAGTGTGGAACACCCGAGCCTCGAACTCGCGACCTATTTGTTTAGAGGTCCACGCCTCTATCCACCGGGCCACGAGCCCGTTGTCCTGTCGGTTTTCGATCGGCTATATACAATGGTAGGGGGCGGTCACCGATCGTTCTTGTGGAACTAACTCCTTACGGGCTCTCGATCGAGCCCAACCAGTAGCCCACAGCGGCGCAGCGTATATCATACGCCCCGTTGGACTTCTAACTAACAGGCAACGGGATCGAGTCCCAGCGGTTCCAAACTTCGGGGTTGGGTATGACTGGCTGACGACGGCTAATAAGCCGGAAATGGTCGTTCCGGTCTCCCTTGTCTTTGTCGGCATTAACATTCTACTTTTGCTACTGACAGTGTTTGGATGTTCAGTGAATAGGCTAACCCAGGAAATGTTGACTGAAATTCTGAAATATGTTTTAAATCCCAAAAGGTTGCTTTGGTATGGTTGTAGCATTAACTATCATGCTGAATAATATCAAGATATTCCAATCATGCTAGGATGCCGGTTTTCAAATGAGCTTCTTGTCGACAACTTGCATGAATTATATTGCGCAAAAAGTGACTGCTTAGATAACATGAATTTCTACCAGCGTTTGTTGATATCTTAACACATTTTTTACTCATTTGGTAAGGAATTAAGTATTCGTCAACGTCTACGTCCTTTTTGTTGTTTTTGTTGTTGTTAGTCAAAATTCTGGTCAGGTGTTTGTTGTGGACCAGGGGGTGTGACGGTACGTCTAGGTGCGGGTCCGGCTGTGCCAGCTAACTGTGTTCTCACCCGCCTCCGGTCTTATTGACTCTGTTATGACATCACGCCCAGGTGGGAAGGAGGAAAGGGGACGATTGACGCTGCGCAAGTCTACTAATTCACGCGCAAGTCGTCGTGCCTGCTTCACGTTGATGTGGAGCACACGGTGGACATCGTCGGTTGCGATGGTCAGACTGGCGATTAATACACAGACGAAGGTGTTTCCTGTTCCTGGGTCAGGACACCGGACTGTAGGTACATAAATAAACTGCCTCAACGTCCTTATGCGCAGGTGTGTAAGTGGGAAACTGCAAACTACAGTATTCAGAAAAGTCATCGAGGCTAGGTAAATACTGCATTTCTACAGGAATCCCGGTCTACCTCAAAAAGCTGGCTCTGTTCGCACCCCATTCGCATTGCGGTAGGCCAGCAGACAGAAGGGCGGAACGACTATGCCTTCAGAGCCAATGGGCAGCTCAGCCGTTTTTCGGAGAAAGGCAGACGCCGAGAGAAGAGAAGAGCAGCAACCGGAACTAGTTTGGAGGCCAATTCCTCACATTAAAGGTCTTCCGAGCCGGTTCATCGACTGTTACAACCCGCAAGAGGAGGCATGGTCCGTCGACCCCAGGCAACAATTCGTGGCTGTCTGATGCAATCTAAGCACGCGTTGCCACTCGCTGAAATCTCGCCGGTTGTCTCCAAAATACTTTGAAATGATGGGGACTACATCGCGGAGTAAGGCGGGGATCTCACACCCTCAGACGCGATCCAGGGTTCACCGCGACATACCGCGTCGAAGGCCTTCGTTATATTGACGAAGTTGGCGTGATGGCTGGTCCTCAATTCCAAGAAATTATTCTGAAGTCGAGGGACAGCTAAGATCAAGTGTGTGGTTCTGCAATGTTTTCGGATTCTGCGCTGCGTTTCTGGAAGGAGCCCCAGCCCTAAATACGCGTTCACGGGACTAAGTAGTACACAGACAAAGGTGTTTCCTACGATGTGAAGGAAGATGCCTCGGTGGTCGTCAAGCAGGTGC